CTCCCTCTTCCATTCAGGTATATCCGGCTGGTGGAGTAGACATGAGGGCTTTTGATATTCGACCTTCACTTTGGCACAATGACTTGAGGCATGAGCAATGACTTTTCCCGCTGCATGAGCACACAGCCTAGGCCCTAACTGGATGCATCATAGTAGACAACGAAGTCCTCCGTCCCTTCGGGCAGAGACAGAATAGGTGCATTGCATAGGGCTTGCTTCAATGTTTGGAATACAATGTCTTGCTTTTCACTCCAACAAAAGGATACGCCTTTCTGAGTCAAAGTGGTTAAGGGTTTGGTAATTCTAGAAAAATTCTAGATAAATCTGCGATAATAGCCCGCGAGACCCAAGAATTGACGGATTTCTTTGGGTGTATTTGGTGCGGACCAGCTCTCTATCGCTTTGATTTTGGAAGGGTCCACATGTATGCCTTCCTTGCTTACCACGTGACCTAGGAAGTTTACTTTTCGAATCCAGAATTCGCACTTGGAGAATTTCACATATAGCTTCTCTGCCCTTAGAGTCTCCAGCACTAACCTCAAGGGTTGTCTGTGTTCTTCCTCACTTCTAGAATAGACAAGTATATCGTCGATGAACACGATTATGAACTTGCCCAAGAAAGAACATCACACCCGATTCATCAGTTCCATTAATACCGTCGGTGCATTGGTTAGATGAAGGGCATTACTACAATTTCGTAGTGACCATATCGAGTCTGAAATGTTGTCTTAGGAACATCACCCTTGTAGTCTCGCAACTGATGGTACCCTGATCTTAGGTCTATTTTGGAGAAGTAGCTGGCTCCTTGAAGTTGGTCGAAAAGGTCGCCGATCCGAGGAAGAGGATAACAGTTTTTGATAGTAAGATTGTTCAGTTCGCGATAGTCAATGCACATCCGAAAAGATCCATCCTTCTTTTTCATGAATAAGACTAGGGCTCCCCAGGGTGAGGAACTCAGTCTGATGAATCCTTTGCTGAGAAACTAAATAAGCTAACTGGATAACTCATGCATTTTCTGTTGGTGCTAAGAGGTATGGGGATTTAGCTACAGGGGTAGCTCCGGGGATTACGTCGATGCAAAACTCAACTTGGCACTCGGGAGGAATTTCCGGCAGCTCTTCGGGAAAATGTGAGGAAAGTTGTAGACTTCGGCGATGCTCTCGAGGTCTTTAACTTCCTGTTTCTCGTTAATGACATGAGCTAAGAATGCATGACACTCCTTTCGCATAAATTTTTGGGCTTTGATGCACAAAATGATACAAAGGTTTGAACTGAGTTTATCACCATAGATCACGAGGGTTTCACCAGAGGGAAGATTGAGACGGATAGCTTTTTCGTAACAAAGGATATCAGTACGATTGGGGCTCAACGAATCCACACTGATGATGACATCAAAGCTTTTTATGGAAACTGGCATAAGGTCGATAGGAAAAGAATGATCATTTAAGGTAAGGGCACATCCGATGAATATGTTGTTAGTGCTCTGTTTCTCACCATTAGCCATCTCAACGGTAAATGTTTCAGTTAAAGGTTGGGGTTTATGTTTGAGAAGATGCTTGAATGCATGACTAACAAAACTTCTCTCCGGACCATAATTGAAAAGAATGCATGCATAAGAGTTGTCGAGGAGGAATGTACCGGTAACAATGGTAGGGTCAGCAACTGCCTCCTCTTGCCCCATAGCTAGTACTCTCACTGCATTGCCAGTTGTTTCCTTTGGGAAATTTCTCCTATAATTCCCGATTTCCCCACAGCCATAAGAAGCTTGACCAACACCTGCTCCAGAGGCCTGATTGGTTGATTGGACTGGTGTTCTGCAGCCTCGAGTCGTGTGACCTTTCTTGCCACAGTTGCTACAGAGCATTTCACGACATGGGTCGGGGATGCGATGATGATAACTGCACTTGCTGCACCAAGCAAGGGTAACAGTATATCCACTGGTAGGTGCTTGAGTTGCAGGAGTAGTGGAAGGAGTAGTAGCAGCGTGAACTGCCACCGTATGTTGTTTCTTGGAAGGCTCCTGCGAAGACTGGCCCTTTCGCTGCTTCCAGAATTTTCTTTTCTCACCATTCCCTTTCGCTGGTTCGGGAGCGGCTGTCACTTTATCAAGATCAACCCCATGATCAATGAGAGTCTGCGCCAGGCACTTGGCGCTATCAAAAGTGATTGGCCTGGCAGCCAAGACATTTCCTTGAGTTGGGGGCGTCAATCCCTAAATGTATCTCTCTATCTTCTTGCTTTATGGGGTGACCATTCTCGAGAAAAGAAGTGCTAGGCCTTCAAACCTAGAAGTGTAAGCAACAATGTCGGAACCTTTCATTTTGAAGTTCCATAGCTCGTGCTCTAGTTTCTGCATCTCTCCCCATGGGCAGTATTCAAAAAGCATGAGCTCCTTCAAGCTCTCCCAACCCATAACATTCGCTATTAGTAAGGTTAGGGATTTGACCCGACTATTCCACCAGGTCAGTGCTTTGTCTGTAAAGGTGCATGCAACAAACTTCAGCTTGTTGGCTTCAGAACATGCACAGATCTCATAGACCAATTTAATCTTCTCGATCCATCGAGTTAGGGCAATGACACCTCCATTACCGTCAAAGGATCTGGGCTTTGTGTTCATAAAATCCTTGTAGGAACACTCCTTCTGATGTCCCTGGTTTCCATCGAGGTTAAGGGGTTGGGCACCACTTCCCGATTCGCTAGAGCTGACAAAGTTTATCTGTGACATCGCGGCAGCCATAGCGGCAGTAACTGCTGCCTAGAACATAGCAGGATCGAAGTGAGGAGGTGGTGGAGCTGGATCTGTCGGAGGATTGTTGCTCTTTCTGTTGGATCTTTTCTTTGGAGGCATATTTTTCTATATCAGGAAGCAGAAGATGGTAAGTCCCCTAGGCTTTCACATTGAGAGATATGAAACAAGGTATATCTCTATATGTTAGATAAAGTGTGGTACTAGGCGATAAACAAGGAAAAGTTACTAATACAAATAAATTATCGCTAAGAATAAATATGTAGCAACACTTGGGACAAATCTCTACAGTGTATTTGGCTCTGACTAAAATACTCCTATGGTATTTTAAGTTGTCTGCTTTGTTCTATTGATGTCTTGTGGTTGGAATACTTGGTAAGTTTTAGGCCTGCTGCAACACCACAGTCACTCCCAAGCACATGTTGGTCATGTCTCAAATATATATAGTTGATCAGGCTATATTGACCCTAGACATGATTTCATAACTGCCCAGGTTAAACCGCAGTGTCCAACATCCAAATACTTTTGTTTTGTTCTACTTACGATACTGTTTATGGTATGTAGGTATAGTTGTATACTTTTTGAAAAATACTTATATTTTTAAAGTATACTTTTTAGTTCAGAGCACTATGGCCCCTTAGTGCTTATATTTGTACACCATGTAAGGTTTGGTATACTTAGTTCACTATAAAAAAATAGCTCTGATACCAATCTGTCACACCCCAGAATCGTAAGAACAGACGGCGGAAACGTCTGGCGGTGGGTGACGTCATGTGTAGTAGCATAACAATCATATCATAGCAATCAAATTAAACACAACCATTACATGACAACATGAATATTTACATTTGGTTGAAAACATACTTTGTATACATAAAAAATGGTGAAAGATAAAGACGAGACTCCAAAATGCTTCGTCTTCTCCAAGAGCTCACAAAGGTACTTATCTATCGTTGTCTTGAGAATACAAGCGGTTTTCAAAACGCACCAACATAAAGATGGTGAGTTCGTAAGCATGTTCCTGTATTGGAAACTAGTCACTGAGTTTGTACAAATTATTTCTTTTCATTTTAAGTAAATATTGTTTGTATCGAAACCCTGGTTGCCACCAGTAAGTAAAATATGTTATGTTTGAAAACCCTGGCTATCACCAATATGTAAGTATGTTCTATCGATAACCCCAACTAATGCCAGTAGGTTGGGTAGGCCTCGTTTGAAAACCCTGGCTATCACCAGTAAGTGAGGTACGTCTTGTTCGAAAACCCTGGCTATCACCATTATGTAAGGTACATTCCATACGAAAACCCTGGCTACCGCCAGTAAGTGAGGTAGTTTTATTACTTAAAATAAAACCAAAAGTTGTATCCTTGGAATTGTAACACCGTAAATTTCAAACAATTTTTTTTAATTTTCTTATAAAACATAATTCGATTAATATTCATCAACAACCATATTAATTATCCAATATAAGTTAATACAAAATCCCAAGATCATAATGTAAAAACTCCGAGTATGTGTGTACGGATCAAGCCGGCGCCTTCCCGCGGTCGTCACTAGTACCTGAAATAAAAACATCAAACACTGTAAGCACAAGGCTTAGTGAGTTCCCCAAAATACCACATATAACACATATTAGCCACTCGAG